CCATTCCTCGTTTAAAGGAAGATCACCTCAGTGCGCCTCATAATCGTCTATTCATCATGGTGTGCATCACCCTTCTCCATCCTTTCAAATGTTGCTGGACTACAATCCCCATCATCTCCAGGGATTATGGGAGCTGTAGTCCAAGAAAAACTGGAGACACCAGAGCAGGGGAAGCTAGCCTACATACTGATGGACCAATTTCATCATTTCCCCAATCTATCTTCACATCTTACACATAAACTAATATTAATAATAATATTATTATTTATACCCCATCCATCTGGCTGGGTTGACTTACACTTACTCCTTTCCACACTCCTGTGACATGTTCCAATGCCACAACCGTGCTGTTTTCATGGCAATTATCTGCATGATTCTTGCCTCTATACAGCAGGCCACATTCCAGCCACAGAAAAGCAAGTTTTTTTCCTACACAAACACATGCACAATATCTCTATCCCTCCATCTAAGCAAGCAAGAGGCAATATCAGAGTTCAATTACACATTCCAGCGTGGCAAAGGCACCCTAACAGAGCAGAGTTGGAGAGGGACGTGGCCTGGGGCCAGACAGAAAGGGCTGCCGCAGGTCAATTTGCCCTTTGAAGGGTGGGGTGGAAGGCATTAGTAGTGCATTAAACCTGTATTTCCCATCCAAAACGTTGCCAGGCTTGAAAACAGCTGCCTGCTTTGGCAAGGAAGAACTGTATCAAGGCATAGCTGGGAACCTCTCCGCTGGGAAGTGCTGAGCAAAGGTGAATCCCCAAGCAACACGGCCAATTTGATTGGCACAAGGCATGCAAGCTCCACCCCCAGTCGTTCTTAGACTCCTTATTGGGTGAGCAACACAGCCAAGCAACACAGTTGGAGCCTCCCTGGCCGGCAAGGAGGGAGGGAGAGAAGCTTCTTCCTTTGAAACCTGGGAAATTTAAGGGACATCATCAATAAGGGACAGCAGCGGGACATGGCGCTGGGATAAGGGACTGTCCCGCCAAATAAGGGACGCTTGACAGCTATGTATCAAGGCAAGCAGGCGCAAAAACTTCTGAAAAGTATGAACAGTGCGTTTTTATTTTGAAGTCACTGACGGCGCACAAATTACCTACCGTACCTTAATATGGGACTACAATGTGGGCTAGTTCTGAAAGGGGCTTGCAAGGCTGCATTAGTCAACGTCGCAATAATGAACTTCCTCTACTACGCTCTTTGTAATAAAACACACAAGCACTTTTATCCGTGACACATCCCCAGTCTTACACAAATTTATACCCGTGGCCAGCTTTCTCCTGGCAACTTTCACCATGGCTGCATCTCCACCAAGTAGCAAGACCTCACTGTGCTAAATACATTTCCAATAAATCATCCTTAAGATTGCACTGCAACTTGAATCAGGATCATGCCCAGTAAGTACGATAAATTCCAGAGTTGCTGGCTGGTCTCCTGTGTGTTGCAATGCCTCGCTTACTAAAGTTTTGAGCCAAAGATCAAATTGGGGACAAGTGATATGTGCCTTGACAGAACTCAGTCTTCAGTGATATATGTGAGATTGCATGGAAATCGTGCATTGATCAAGGAACACAGACAACCTTGTTATATTTCTATCCACCATGTGCTATTTTACAGCAAGTTAACACAGCCAAGCAAGGAAATTTCTACCCTAATAAGCAGCACGGCAATCCACAAAAATCACGTGGGATAGGACTTGCCAGTAAATGTCTTCACCACCCAGTAACCCTTTGCAAAGACAAGGCAACTTTACCTCTTCCTCTTTTTAAGCCCATTTCTATTAGGAATGTCAACTTTTTATATACTGTATTAATAAAAAAAGTTTTAGTCTTCACTTGCGCAACTTCAGCCTTTTTTTAGAATTCTGAATGAAGATGGAACGCCTCCTCTCAAGGGTGATATAACAGGCTTACAATCTATAGCTCATTGTTAGAAGCGAAAGCTATCTTTAACGTTTTCTTGGGAACGTTCTCAAATTCCGTATTACATAACACAGTTAATATGCCATGGCCAAAATGAATTCAACTTAGACAAGTGCCGTGGACAATACAGGTCAGGTACCTGTGACTGAAAGCAAAACCACAGTAATTTGATGAAAGGCAAACTCATCTAGTACAGAAAGAAAAGGGGAGGCGAGTGGCCTTCAGGAACCCTATCTTTTTGCTCATTCTCATTTCAAATTATTGGTGAATTTTTATTCATCTACAGCCCTTGATATCTCTCTTGTGCTTCACATGCCCAGCAATCGACAACCAAGTTTACTGCATCATTTCTGGTCCTTTCCTTAGTTCTTCCAGAACGATTCTAACTAAAACTCCCTATTTCTCTTTCCATAATCTTAGGAAGCCACTTAGCAGCATTTCCCCCCCTTCCTTCCATTTAGAACAGAAAGCACTCTCTCTCTCTCTCTCTCTCTCACACACACACACACACACACACACACAAAGAACATGAACAAAATGGCATCATCATTTCAAACTTTAAAAAGAACACAAGCTGCCGCCTTATAACAGGCCAGACATTGGTCCAACTAGCTCAGCTATCATCTACTACACTGCCTGTCATAGTCTCTCCCAGCCCTACCTGAAAATGGTGGGGACTTAGCCTAGGGCTTTCTGCATGCAAGACAGCTCTGTTTTGTGAACACAGTTAATTCAGTGAGTCAAACACTTAGCCATTTTTAATTCAGGTGGTAGCCCCCGGAAATGTGGCTACCAAGTTTGAATAATCTTGTGAATAAATGTTAGCCTATTCCTACAAAAGTTAAACATGCAACCTGAAAACACGAAATGGTAGCAGATTGTCCTCCAAGACAGGGCATGTCTGTGGCTCCTAGAAAATAAAGGTAAAGGTACCCTGCCCGTTCGGGCCAGTCATGTCCGACTCTAGGGTTGTGCGCTCATCTCACTTAAGAGGCTGGGAGCCAGCGCTGTCCGGAGACACTTCCGGGTCACATGGCCAGCGTGACGAAGCTGCTCTGGCAAGCCAGCAACAGCGCAGCACACGAGGTTTTACCCACAGTGCCACCCACGTCCCATAAATAGTGTGTGGTATTTCTAACAGCTCAGTGCTATGCAGAGTTAGACATGGTTAGGCCCACTCAAATCAGTGGCCTTAAGGCTTAAGCATATCCAACTCCGTATAATAATGAGCTAGAAGTATACACAAATGTTAAGATTAGAAAAAGTGAAAAAACAGATTAACTATACAAATGGGACATTCTAAAACTGACCAAAACATCTCTTGTGGAAAGTAGCCCTACAAGGGGAAAGCGAGGCAAAGTGACAGTATTTGGGGAACCATTCAAGAACACATGGAATATATAGCTTTACTATGTCATGGTTGTAGGAGGGACTTGGTTTGATTTATTATTAAGAAAACTTTGAAGTATTACAAAGCAATAGGTAATAGTATCCACGTGAGAAGTTCAGCAAGGATTTGACATAAAATGCCTTTCTGCATCTTTAAAATCAGAATTGTTACAAGTGGCACTTTTGTGAGATAGTGCCACCAGAAATGGGTTGAAATGATTTATCTGGTACAGTATACATATTTGTTGATGACATTAAAAGTTAATTGGTATTCTGCTTATCTCATGGAACTTTAAAAGCCACTCTTTAACCGGGGGGGGGCAGGGGGGAGTTAAAGTTTTGGTAACTAAAAACTGAAGTTTTACGAAAGTGACTGCAAATTTTATATATTTATTTTACTTCACGTTATCAATTTGAAGTGTTTTAGGAAACACGGAGATAGCTGTGCAGAGGGCAGGATTGCCTGAACAACGTCCCTCCTACTTCTGCGGCCTTAAAGCTTTAGAAGGCCAAATCTTAATCTTTGTACCGGAGCAAATCGGAAAGGGCTCCACAAGCTATACAATCTAAGCAGATCAAAATCCAATTCAGCTCGAACAACTGAACACGACAGCATCCATATTTGTGATGAGCCTAGGCCAGTCCCCCCTCCCTTCCTGGGCTGGTGCTCAGACATTGCTCACTGCCTGAACTCAGATGTATGTAGTAAGCAGACACACCAAAATAGACTAATCCAACACACAGCAAAAGGACCGAGGGAGAGGGGGAGAGAGAGAGAATATCAGGTGTTCTTCTGCCATTCCTGTGGCTGAAAACAGCAGGCCTATAAACTTCACCCACAAGAGAAATAAATCAAAGCCCTCCCATTAAACCCACTTGTCAATACAGCAAGGTTGCAGCTTGTTGACACCCCCAAGAAGCTGTGACTTTTGGAGTCTATCTATCCACATGGAACATCAGAGCAAGCTTTGCTTCTTTGCTATATCCATCCAAAATCTGCCCCATCACTGTGAGGCAGTGTTAGAAACAGAAATATTATAGCTAGGAGCTAAAGGGCACCTTAAACTGAGGTTACGGGCCCAACCATGGAATGTCTAGGTGTGCTGTTTTAGAGCAAGAATACAAAGCTGAAAATAAATGAACTGCAGCTAAAATATTATGTTCATTTCCCACATGGTCTAGTCCTTCCCTTGCCCACCCTCCTAATATCCTTAAGAAGGTCTCTTCTCCAGTCTTCAGAGAGTAGCTGGAAGTGGGGAAGCAGAAAAAGGTCCTCCTTTCCTTCCACTCTGCAGTTTGAATCGGAAATCTCAGGTACAATACTGCGCCCAGAACTCAGAAGCGGCTAGTGCTGAGGAAATTCTGGGTTGCAAAATGCGCCTAGAATAATGGGAGTTTCGAAGGAGACTTGTTGCCGGATCAAATTCCCTACTAACCCCATGAGGGCACTCTCCAGAAACTCAGCTATGAGCTATCCAAAGTCCCCTTTTACTCCGCGCTTCGCAGTTGTTTTGTTTAAAGGGGCGTCTTTAAGACATCTTTCTAAGGCACGCCTCCACCAGAACCGACGGCGCAAACAGAGGTTGACAAACCCCCCTCTTTGCAGCGACTGCTTAAGGGGGGAGGCGGAATGGAGAACAGCTCCAACCTTTCTGAGAAGGTCACACCCTCGGGGCCCAACCTTACTTCCTTCCCCAACACCTGACTCGTGGTCTTCAGCAACACAAGGCTGCTTCTTCCTCAGGCGCTCCAAATATCTCAGGACCGACGGAAGAAAAGTTCCAGGAGAAGTGAGCCCCGGTCCCAATTAAGCCTCGCAGTCCCCAATTCCAGCAGCGCCTCACACACTTTCCCCGGGGTGCGTGGGAAGGGCGGGGAAAGTGGAAAAAAGAAGAAGAAAAGGCCACCCCTCCGCCACGGGAACGTCAACAAACAAGCCGCCTCCGCAGGCCAAAGTGAAAGGTTCAACACCTCCTTCCGAGGTGCAGCCCGGAACTCTCGCGTCGCGGCGAGGGAGCACCGCCGCACTCTTGCTAGGCTCAGAGGCGCCCTCTCCGTTCCCCCAGCCTGACAAAACAGGTGCCGGAGCCCAGCCTCGTCTCGAAGTCGCTTTCACCCCACCCCACCCCACCGACGGCCATTGCATCCCCTAAGCAGCCCCTCGCCTCTACTCCCCCGGGCAGCCTCGGTGGGTTCGCCAACCCGCGCCGCCGCCGCCACGTGCAATCCCCGGGGACGCGCGGCGCCCTCGCTTCCCTCGTACCCCGGCGGCAAGCCGTAGGCCCAGGCCGGCTCTGCTACCTCGGAGGCCGGAGCACTCGCGCTGCCATCGGCCGTAGAGCGGAGAGAGCGCGAGGCGAGCAGGCGGGCTGCTGCAGGAGCGCTCCTCTGCCCGGGCTCCTCGGCTGCTCCTGCAGATGCCCCTTGAGCTGCCCTACGGTAGCAGGAAGGCGGCTCCAGCTCCGGCTCCGTCCCGTTTACCTGATCTGCGGCAGCTCGTGGCATCGCATGGTGCAACACTGCCCGGAGGAGGCAGGCGGGCGGGCCGGCAGGCGGGCGGCTACGGCTCCCTCCCTTCTTCCCCGCGCCGGTTCGGCTCGCCGCTGCCAGCCCAAGTCAGGCGGCAGCACTATGGGAAGAGAGGAGCGGCGAAGGGGGGCGGGCGGGCGGCCGGGGCAGCCCCGCCCGGCGATGGGCTGGGTCTGCCGGGGAGGCCGGCTTCCCGGTTAAAGGCACACAAGGCCAGGAAGAGAAGGGGAGTGCAGCCGACGGGGGTGCTGTCAATTGCCCGGGCGCCCCAAGATCCAGCAGGAGGGGCTGAGATTAGGGGTAAAAAAAGAAAGAGAGAAGGCGTTGTAAGCAGGTGCAGAGGGCGTCCTCAGCGCTGGGAAACTCCAGGCACAAAATAGCGTACCCTCCCAATATTATTATTATTATTATTATTATTATTATTATTATTATTATTATTTCTCTGGTCAAAACAGGGGCGTCCTATTGAATCATCATCATCATTTTACTATTTATATCCCGACCACTCTGGGCAGCTTCCAGCATATATAAAAACATAATAAAACATTATACGTTAAAAAAAACACAACTTCCATCTACAGGGCTGCCTTCAGATGTCTACTAAAGGTTGTATGGTTACTTATCGCCTTGGCTGGGGGGGGGGGGTCGCACAACTCCATCCCCTCTGACATTTCTCCAATTAAAATAGTAAAGGTAAAGGACCAGTTAAGTCCAGTCGGAAAAGCGGGCTCAACAACTTTGCCCAAAAAACCCCCATCAACTTTTCTGTCCGGATCTTCACCGTTTGAAATATGGTAACCCTAGACTAGCCTGCATGCCCACCATTGACAGTTGTGTGGCATCTACAGTATAGGCAATGGTATAAACTTGCCTTACCGGCATTCTAGAATTGCCAAGTTAAAAGGAAATAAAGGGGAATCAAGTCCTGCACTCCAACTGCACTGTATCTGTTTTGTCACTGAAAAGGTAATTGCTTATACTGTATGTTCTGTACTCAAGTTCTGCTTAGCACAGGAAATTCTGGTTGCTACTTTGGTCCCCAAACCCCTATAAGCACCCCTGTGCCTTTAACACAGAAGTTCAACAGGTGTAGCTTTCTGACAGAGTTTCGGAACTATAATATTTTTTAATTCAACTGCTGGATTTCCAGGGAGCTGTAAAATCAGTGTTTCTCAGCCCGTGGGGTGTGTCCCATCCAGGAGGACATGTGAAGATTTTGAAGCCTGGGGGTACTGTTTCCAAAAATATACGTGAAAATATATATAATTAAAAGTCACCATCTTTCAATCTTTATGAAAATTTAAACAATTAGGAAAGCCAGGTTTGAAGGCGAGGGCATGGGATTTTTACTTTAGCTAAAAGGGGACATGGGATGAAGAAGAAAAAAGTTGAGAAACACTGTCTTAAATGCACACAAATCCTGACATAGGGAATACTTTTTTTTTTTTTGCTGAGTCATCCTTCCTTGGGACCTACGTTTCACAGCCTTTCTAGCTGTTGCGATAAAAGCGGGCCATTTTTTTACATCTAAATGTGATAGTTACATTCTTGATTGATTATGCATAAACTGATAATTTGAAGTTACAAGTTCGTATTGCAGGGCTATTGCCGGCAGAGATCCATACTCAGAAGTCCCTGCTAAAGATGGACTTGTGAGATTCAGAGGAGATAGGATTGATTGGACCTTGAACCTTGTGGCAGAGGCCTGTTCAAGTTTATGCAAAGACATCTCACTGTGTTCAGTGGGACTTATCCCTGAACAAGTGTGTTTATGATTGCAGCCTTAGGTTCAAATCTCTCCCCAGCCAAGAAAAAACTGAGTGGCTAGGAATGTTGTCATTGATGATGGTGGTATTATTATGGGCTTTCAGCCAGTTAAAATAAATTGTTACCTTTAACTGGTTTTAAATATGCACATGTAACTAAAACAATAGTTATGAAGAAGGGGAGCATTAATGTATAGTTTTTTTTAGATGAGCATAAGGACATTGGTTCAATCTAAAGGCCTATCTAGTCCAGCATTATTTTCTCAGGTGCATATAGGAAGCCCATAGGTAGGACGAGTGCAATGGTTCTCTCCCAAACCCCATGAACTGGTATTCAGAATTTCAAGAGCATACTGTCTGTGTTTACCCGTCATAACTGGTAGCCACTTATCTGCCATGAATTTGTCCAAACTCTTTAATTTAAAGGGAAGTCATTACTAAGTCCAACTGTTAGAGGCTCCGCATAACAGGTTCTCAGCAATCCATATCCTCTTATTTAAGGCAGCCACCTCATTTTGAGCCCCTTCACCTCCACCAGCTGCTGGCAATTTAACCTATGCTGAGTCAAAAGCCTGTCTCAGCTTATGTAAATAGATAAGGGACAAATAAAGGGGCAGCTTTCGGGGCTGCTGAGTTACACCATAAGGTAAAGGTAACGGACCCCATGGCGGTTACTGTAAGTCCAGTCAAAGGTGACTATGGGGTTGTGGCGCTCATCTCGCTTTTCAGGCCGAGGGAGCCGGCGTTTGTCCACAGACAGCTTTCTGGGTCATGTGGTCAGCATGACTAAACCACTTCTGGTGCAACGGGACACCGTGATGGAAGCCAGAGCGCACGGAAACACCGTCTACCTTCCCGCTGCAGCGGTACCTATTTATATACTTGCACTGGTGTGCTTTCAAACTACTAGGTTGGCAAGAGCTGGAACAGAGCAATGGGAGCTCACCCTGTCGTGTGGATTCAAACCACCGACCTTCTAACTGGCAAGCCCAAGAGGCTCAGTGGTTTAGACCACAGCGCCACCCGCGTCCCTGAGTTACACCATATCCTGTGCTCTGTCATGGTGAAATGGCAACCGATGCAGGGCTGAATACTTTTTTAATTCTCCTCCTTCCCATTCAAGCTAATGGGAGAGGAATTATTTGCTCTCGGTCATAAAGCTGCACCATGGATAGGCTGTGGACTGGAGGAGTATAGAATCTTCGGTGCTTTGAACCACATTCCTCCAACTGGAGTATCACGGTTGGTTGCGGAGGGTTGGACTGGATGACCCTCAGGGTCCCTTCCATCTCTGCAATTCTTTGGTGGAAGAGCTTTCACAAACTGAGTGCTCTACCTGCCGATTGGGATAATTCCCCCAGTATATCTTTCATTCTGGGTGTGTATCTGGTGTTCTACTTGCGTACTGGGGCTTCTGCCCAATCCTAGCACCCCCTCCCCTGGCGATTTTCAGTACAGTATAGGATTGTGCCCTTAATGAATTTAGAAATGCTGTTTAATACCACCAGCCCGCTTAAGGGTAAAACCTTAGGCTTCCCACATGATTGCGTCATTGGACTGTGTGGAATCTAATGGATAAGAGATACATCCCCCTTGGTTTTTATACCAATGACGGTCCGCAGTGTGGTTTATTCGAGTTACGCATAATACAAAAACAGGGCTAATACAATAAAGAAAAATGTAGATTATTATGCAAATCCCTCGCCTTTTGTCTTGGACTTTGCGCACACGTTGAGATATGGGTGAGGGATTTGCATATTTTTGTTGAGCTGCTAGTTTTAATAGGCAGATAAAACTGACACGTTTAAATCTAATTCCTTCCAACCTTGTAGTCATTGAATTGCCAGCATGAGGCGGAAAATCACTCACAGAGCCAAATTCAAAAGCTGGTGTAAAACCAGAGGTTCCCACTGAAAAGAAAGGATTTTCTTTGTGAGGTATTTGCAGATAGGAACATAGAGAGCTGCCTCATATGGAGACAGTTCATTTGGTCCATCCATCTACCACTGAGCTGTGGTCCTTTCTTTAAATTGCCTTCCACATGTTCAGCTGAACATGCATAAACATCCCCCAAGACTGTGCCTACTCGTGGCTGCAGGCCTCGGCCTCATCCCTGTTTCCGCATGGGCTTTGTCCACACAATCACAGGTGCTGCCTCTTCACAGGTACACAATTGTGCAGTCAAAACCAGCACATGTACATTTTGTATACATGCACAACCCCACTCCCCTTTAAATGTGCGTCCAGTTGAACATACGGAAGGTGCCAAAATTACAGGCACAATCTGAAATGCTGAATAGAACCCATGGAAGTTTGAATAAAATCTATTAGATTTTCCCATGGGTTTGGTTGCAAAGGATTGCAACCAAAAACAACAAGTTATCCAACTGCACTTTATATGGTCGCAATCAAAGAGAGGGCAAAGCTCCACGAAAGAGATTTAAACATACTTGACTGTCTTGAGCAGAATCCAGTGCTGGCCCTACCATTGGGCAGAATGAAGCAACCATCTTAGGCATCAGATACTCGGAGGCAGCAGAAGTGGCCCGTAGCTATTTCTCCTGAACCTCCACCCATTCAAAGTCCACTTGATTTCTGGCAGTAGAGTTGGGAGGAGTCACCATTTTGCCCTTTCCCGCAGGTAGCAAAATGTATTCGGATGGTCCTGGCAAAATCATATGGCTACCAGCCGTCCATAGTCAGTTGCCCATGTCTT